AGCTCTGTCCTTCAGCCAGTTCTCAATCCACCTCACTGTCCACTCATCTAACCCACACTTCCTAAGCTTACCTATGAGGATGTGATGGGAGACAAAGGCCTTACTAAGGTCAAGGTAGACGGCATTCACTGCCCTCCCCTCATCTACCCAGACAGTCATTTTATCATAGAAGGCTATCGGATTGGTCAAGCATGATTTCCCCTGAGTGAATAATGCATGCTGACTACTCCTGATAATCTTCTCTTCCTCCATGTGCTTGGAGACAACATCCAGGATGAGCTGTTCTATCACCTTCCCAGGAATGAAGGTGAGGCCAACTGGCCAGTAGTTTCCCGGGTCCTCCTTCCTGCCCTTCTTGAAGATTGGAGTTGCATTGGCTATCCTCCAGTCCTTGGGCACCTCTCCTGTCCTCCATGACCTTTCAAAGACAATGGAGAGCGGCTTTGCAATGGCATCTGCCAGCTCCCTCAACGCTCGTGGGTGCATCCCATCAGGGCCCATGGATCTGTGGGTGTCTAGTTTACCCGAAAGATCCCTAACCCAATCCTCCTCGACCAAGGGGTAGTCCTCCTTTCTTCTGACTTCTTCCCCTACTGCCAGAGTCAGGGATGCCTGAGGGCCAGATTTAATAGTAACGGGCATTCAACAACTCCGTCTTCTCCATATCCTCTGTCACCAGGGTACCTGCCTCATTCAGCAATGGGCCCACAGTTTCCCTGGCCTTTCTTTTACTGCCAATGTATCTGAAGAAGCCCTTGTTGTTGTTTCTGACATCATTGGCTAGATTTAATTCCAAGTGGGCCTTAGCTTTCTTCATTGCATCCCTGCATTCTCTAGCAGTGTTTCTGTATCCCTCCCAAGTGACTAGCCCCTTTTTCCACTTGTTGTAAATGTCTTTCTTCCCTTTGAGTTTTTCCAGAAGGTCCTTGCTTATCCAAGCAGGCCTCCTGCCTCCTTTGCTCAACTTCTTCCTCATAGGAATGCACCAATCTTGAGCTTGGAGGAAGTGCTGCTTGAATAGCAACCAGCTCCCTTGGGCCTCTCTCCTCCATGTCCCAAAAAACCCAAGTAGGTCTCTTAGCGAGACTAACAGTACTTTGTATTTTTCATCAGACAGTAATTAAAGAAAAAGTATCAAATAACAGGTTTCCTGAAGGACTCACATACTTCCTTGCAAAACCTCCTAGACTGCTGTGGAAATGACAAATTAAGACATTCCCCCCGCCTTAGCAATGTGGAAGAGAAAAGCTCAGCCTTCAGCAATTTCTTACTAAAGGCTCTTTGTTGTTCTGCTTCCCCATCGCTTTTATCTAAGAATAAGCTTCCCATGATTAGCACCAAACAAAGCAGTCTGTTGCCCATTTACTGCACAATCCAGCACAAATTAGCTGGTCTCAAATCAGCTAAACTAGCCTTAAGAAAGGAGAAGCACAGTTTATTTTATTATTAATACAATAATAATGGAGAAATTCACAGCATTTGTCAATTAAAAGCTTTATTACCTGCTTACATAAGTAAGTAGCCTTAACTGCATGGTAACCAAAAATCTCCTAACTCTTACCTGCTTACCAACAGGCCTCACAGCCAAAGTTTAAGTATTGAAGACACATGATGAATACATTTATTTACTGAAACATAATTATTCCTCTGAAGCATCTTTCAGGCTGATGGATCTATTGAACCAGCCATCCTAGACTCAGATTCTAAGCAGATTATTCATGGGGTTTTAGTAACACCTACCTTTTGCAAGAAGTACAACCCACGAAAGTAAAAAATCCCATACTGTAAATCTCTATTAGTCCTAAATGTAAACCCCTGTATTTGCAAGCAGCTATGACTCATGGTCGCTCCCTCTACAGTACAAATACATTAGGTACCAACAGATACTTCTATGCTTACTTGCCTTGATGGAAGAACTCCTCTGTTACTTTTTCACTCCACTGCTTACTCAGCTCCCACGTCCGACATGGATTACAAATATCAGCACACTTCAAAGCCATCTGGTAAATTAACATACAGCATTAGATTACCTCTTCCTTCAACAGAATCATCTGTAATAAATATTTCCTGACAGCAGAGTATTTTAAGTTTTGTGAATAACAAACCTATCTACCATTTGTGCTTTTCTCTCAAGTTATGTTCTATAATCATATTTTAAAAACACTCAGGGAACAATCAGACTTCATGATCATCTCTGCACAATATAGAAATTCACTCAAATCAAAGTATTTTGGGGTACTAAATTTAGTATATTCACTAGTACAGGAGACAACAATAAATTCAGAAAAAGAAACATCAAAGTAAGAGAACAGTATTTTGCATTTCTGGCTTTGAAGTTTGCATTTTTAATAATGGTTTGCACAGGACTGAACTCACTGGTTTGTCCACTTTGCTTTATAGTCCACAGTATGAACCCAATAATAAAAATTCCTGGAAACCTAAAGAGACTCTTCAAGGGTTTTGTTTTTAAAGCTTACCAAATCTCTCTCTAGCACAACTGCAAACTCATTCTCAGCGATAGTGCTTTCCTTTCCTGAAATAGGTTCTGACAAAGCATTTCACAGTTCTGAGACTGCACTGGAGGCATCAGAAGAACTAAACTTTGTCTTGGAAACACAGTTCTCCTTGGTTTAGCAGCTCAAAGACTGACCAACACACAACATCACTTGGGAGAAGTGCTGAGAGGGGGGAAGTTGAAGTGGAGGGAACAACCTTTTTGTACTGAAACAAAATGACTAAAAGATATTTCTGTTTCATTTTGAAAGTAGGACATAGCCTGGAAGTAGTAGCATTTAGCATTTTAAGTAAATTATTTTTGATGCTAAAATGATGTTTTCAAAAACATTACCAAAAAGATTACCTGTAAAATGAAGTGACGATGGTTTGCATTCTCTAAACATAGGTCTCCTCTATCCAAATGGGATCGAAACATAGACAGATACTCATTTTGCTGACTGATATCTGTGGCAAGAATGAGATCACCTATCTGGCTTTCCATCAGCTGCCTGAAATTAGTGATACCGAAACATTCAAAAAACCAGAAGAATTAAGAACAACAGCCATCACTAGATTTACATGGGTTTTTTTATCATATTCATTATTATACAAATGCAACTCACAAGCTTTATAATCAGCATTTTCACTGAACTGTTTCTTTTTGTCTTGTTTTGTTTTTCCTCTCTGATAGAAATATCAGGGCATTTCACTGGCAGCTTTCTGGAAGACTAAAACAGTTTTCAGCTTTTGTTCCATGTGTCGTTCCCTTCCCCCCCCTTTTTTTTTCTTAAAAATGCACATACTAATTATTTAAAGCTTATTTCTTCTTTAAAATAGACACTCTTCACCTACTTTAACTTGTGTGGTAGCAGAACAAGAAAAGGCTGCCAAGTTTAGTCTGAACAGGTGCTTGACTATATGAATACACTTATTCAGTGTGCTCACAGTCAAGGTTATTTTCCAAGTATCACATTGCACCATGAACTGCTCTACTCCAACAGCATGGGATCTGGGTATTCTTAAAAGAGATCGTAATCTACATTTTGTATTCAGAACTGCCATGTAGTAATTTAGCTTCCTTTGCAAGGCTGTCTTACTAAAGTGACAGCTTACTTAAGTCTTAAACTAATCGATACTATTTTGTAGAAACATACCTGTTTTCTAATGACATATGTGCAAATAAACCAGACTCTCTCAGCAACCCCACTGCTGATCTCCAGTGATGGTTTTCTAATACTGAGGTATTCTGTGAATGGAAAGGGTATTACAGGTATCAGACAATTACTTTTTCTTAAACTCAAGAGCTATATACTAAGAGTGGTACCAGACAGTTTTGCTGCGTTTTGGGGGCGGTGTTTTCCTTTCTTCTTCTCTTGCCTTTTTGTTTTGTTTTGTTTTGTTTTTTAAGGATGTTAAAACTCCCAAGTCCTGAATACTTTCTTAGCTTGCACACTTTTTTATCCCAGTGACACGGAAACAATGTCTGCATTCAAACCTACTACTAGCTCAACACATCAGAATTTACACTCCTTTTCTGTACTCCTCAGGCATTCTCCAAACCTGCTTTTAACAAAACAATCGATTTTGTCCTTACCTTATATAAAGTTGCTAAGTAATGGTTTGTTTTAATTAGGAAAGGTTGGTTAACCCCTGGGTGATCCAAATCATGTGTGGCAGCTGCTATTAAACTGAGCAGAACATCCCATGGAGTTAAAGATTTGGAAAGCTGTAGGATAATAACAACAAATGCAATTCTGTTAGCAATGCAAGCACGCCCTTAGAGAAAGTGCTTGGGTGTCGAATTTTGTTTTTTCTTTTTGAGTAATTAACAGCCAACAGAAACTCAGAGAAAATTTTAATAATGTAAAACTCATATTCCACTGACTTTTCACAGTATTCCCCCCCCAGAAGCTACAAAATTTCAACAATGGTTTAAGCATTATTCTTTCTGAATGGGAAGGTTAAATCTTAAAAAATGCTGGCACAAAAAATGCTACTTTCTGTCTGGTAATGAAGTACTATTCCTAACCAGGTCCTGTAAAAGCAGCAGATTCTCAAAATTAACTCTCCACCTCATTTACCAAGTCTGTCTGTCGGTGTCAATTCTGCCTTAAATACACAGTATACTTTAAAAAACAAAAACCTTTCATCTTAAAAGGAAGAAACTAATGCTCTGGAAGACTTTAGAACTATTCAGTATGGATTTCTGCTCTTAATGTGAAATTATATTTCAAAATCTATCAGGAAAAGAACCGAAGGGGGGAAATCTGCCAAAAAAAAAAATATTTTCAAGAAGTATGTGCACATCAATTAACTCAGCATGGACTTATTTTCACTGTTCATAGCTGTTACTACTTCTGGTTGGGAGTTTTGTGAGTTAAACTCAGTAATAAAGCCTAGCTTGCACTAAAACAGAGAGGACAGTTCTGCCTGCACAAAAGTGAAATGCAGCAAACACCCTGTGAGGACAGAAGTTTATATTCACTCTTGCATTTGCCATCTATCATCCCTCACACGTTTATAATGTACTTTGGTGCAACAGAACCAGTAGCTGCATATGTTACTAAAAATACAAAGTCTACACCTGTATCCAAAGCATTGCAAAACTTCCACTACAAGTATTAAATAAAAAATGCTCAGAGCTTCCAAACTGCATGCCAAAAAATACCTCATCATGTATCAGTTCTCATTTGTCTCACTGCACCAACAATTGATCTGAGCTGCACTGAGAAACTGAGTGGGAGGAGTGGGTGAAGAGCCTCTGAATAACATCCACGGAGCCAGAACTTACTTGTTTTTACCTCAGAAGCAGAATAAAGAGCTATGCTATTCAAGGGAATACCAGATCAACGATAATCTGCATCAAGGTAGGTAACTCGTCTCACCTGGCTAGAATGCACTACCATTTTCTATTTAATACAGAAGGACAGGATTTAGCCTGAAACTGTCTAAGACATCACTTACAGCAGACTGGGAGCAGCCCAAGCAGTACGAAACCAGTGCTTGACTAGCTCAGCTCCTTAGGGTCTGTCACACTCCCCTTGTTTAGAAAGAAAGGCCAAAGAGAACTCTTGATGTCTTGCTATAAGGCACTTCTAGCAGAAGCATACTATTCATTACCATGAAAGATAAGCAAAGCAAAGGTAATCGTAGTTTCTGAAGGAAAAAAAAAACAACAACCAACCAAACAAAAACCCCACCCCAAACAACAAATATCCAGGTTTATTACTGGCAGCTCTGACTCAGGCTGCAATTCCGTGTAAGTGTCTTGAGGCACAGCTTCAATCTTAATCAATTCCCTACTCTGGTTCATCATGAAGTCACACAAAAGACAATGCCAGCTCAGAAGAGGTGAAAAAGAAAAGCATACTGCTAAGTGTGAACCCATAGCCTCAGAAACATGGAGAGAAATTCCCTGCCTTTTTGTGTTCAAAAGTGGGTTTTGCTGGGGTTTTGAGTTTGTTTTTTTTTTTAATAAAATGTGTGTGTGTGTGCATATACACATATACGCATGTATGTGCACACAATCCATGTATAAGCACACACACAAATATACATGTCTTTCTGTATGTACACATGATGCCAAAGTGAGAACGCTCCCTTACCTTGGGCTCTTTTAAGTAACAGTGCATGGCCTGAGTCACATCAGCAGCATGAACTGCGTTATGATAAGGGTTTTGACTGTGGTAATCTTCTTGAACCATCACTGCAGGAAAATAACAAATAACCAAATTTTAATAAAATAGCATTTTTTTCAAGTATCATTTTATATGTTCTTGTTAGGCACAGAAACATGCAATATCACAAGTTACACACACATAAAAGCAGCAAAGTAAATAAATCGTAGCTGAACCATGACAGAGGTATAAAAGACTTAGGTGAAGGAATAGTATTTTCTAAGGGCAATCAGCTACATGTAAAGTCATCTCAGAGCAAAAATTAAACAACTTGAAATCAATATATAATCTGAAATACTTCAAGAACTTTCCCAGTAAAGGCTCCCTTTTATAATCTAGCCTGCCTGAACGTTGAGGCACCCTGGAAGACAAAATGAAGATGACACTATTTATCAAAGCATCAGGATGACTTCATATCATGCCTTGAAAAGAGACAAGATCAGAAGAATTAGGCACTGCTTTCCTGTCATATGAAGTGCTTTTCTTTCCCCTTCAGGACAGTGGTCATGGAAAGCCACCTCTACATAGTTAAGGCATCTCCTCATACTTGTACTCAGGCAAATTTAAGCCTACATGCAATTTAGAAAAGAATCTCATTTAGATGATGGTCTGACTAACCACTCCGAGTTTTAATATTCCCTATTTATATTCCCTATTTTAATATTACATTCCTATTATATTCCCTATTTTAATATTCCCTATTCCTCCTTGCTTTCCTTCACTTTCCTCCATGTTCCTGGCTGTCTTTAAACATTGTAAGTAGAATACTTTAAAGACATCAACATTAGCTTGAGTACACAGAGTGAAAGAACTATGATGTTTAAAAGGATGGAGAGGCAGAAGATCTGAAGCACAACAATCAAACTATATTCCGAAGTTTTACCTGACACATTAGCTCTTTCAAGCAAATCTCAAAAGAACATTTTCCTGGCTGACTACAGTCTGTCAGTCCCACCCAAACACACATGCCCACAGCCTCTCTTCCTACTCCGTTGACAAGCCAGTACCCTCCATGTAACGGTGACTGTAAAGTTAGAGCATTACTGCTACAGTATTTGTGAAAAGCTGCAGTTCATGAAAAGTCAAAATACTGTAACCATCGTGTAATCTCAATAATAGCTGACATCTCATATGGAAAATACCAAAAATAAGCATCTTTTGGCTCTATTAACCTGCAGTAGAACTCCCTTTCAGCTATGCCTCACAGCCAGGGCGTGAATGAAGATGCCCTTGGCTTACTCCTTGATAATTTTGTGGCTTCATAGGCCAGTCCAGCTACCTGAAGTCTACAATTTTCTTAACTTATTTAATTTAATAAAGCAGACCTAGGATGATACCTTGATGACGGGTTGCCAGAACTAGAAATGGCAAAACCACCCTATGTTTCCAGGAATGTAGTACTTTGTATCTTCTCTCCCCCTGTTCAGGTCTGGAATAAAAACTTGAAAACACACAGAGGAGGAGGAGGAGGAAGAGACAGATCTCCAAGTAACCTTTGTAAATCACAGAAAAGACTGTGTATACGTATAAACAAACAAAAATATATATATACACACATACATATGCGAGATAGATGTATGTGACATATATATATATACACAGACACAAATAAAATGTTGAGATCCTACTGAGGACTAAAATCAGATTTCTCTCCTTAAAAAGATTCCACTAAGTTCTCAAAGGGAATACTGTGTGGCACTATGGACCAGTTGAGCTGTCCGAGTCTTCTGGAGTTTGATCTTCAGATTACTTTGGACTAGGGTATAAGAGGTAGCAAAAGAGAAGAATTAATTTGGTTCATGCTAAGAAGCTGTATTTTGAGGAAAGGTTCCTTGATTAGGCAGATGGGCTAGGACAGAGCTAAGAAATTGTTTCTTATTGCTACTAAGCAGAAGGCATTAGCGAAAAGGGAAAGGTGGTGGATTTCAAAGCTAGAACAAAATTTGCCTTCTATAAAGTCTAATCTCATTTCAGTTGACTTATGGCTTTCAGTAGTCATATGTAAAGACTATTGTTATCTTTGGACAACTAATCTAGTCATTGCTAACTGGTCTTGCATTTCAAGTACTGTCATTTGCTACATCTCAACTAACCAGGAAATAAGCAAGATGAAAGACAAAACACACTCAGTTACAACTTGAGTAGCCTAAGACCAGATTTCTATAACAATTTTCTTCACATTCCAATGTATCAGTCCTCAAGGTCAGTTGATCTACCTGTTTGAAACTGGAAGGAATTGAGTCCACTTTAAAACACCATGAAATGCAAGACAGAACTGAATTTTTTTAAAGCTGGAAGAGAACAAAAAAACCCCATTCTCTTATTTGAAAGGGGAGAAAAGCCTTCCAAATGTGATTCCTCCCCTGTTGAATGATGAGCTTTGTAACCACAAAATTTTCTCTGAAACCGTAAAAGCCTGCTAAAAGGGACCAGAAACTTGTTTCTCCTGCTCAATTAAAAAAAAGCATCCCACTTCACAAAATTAAATAAAAGGTACTGTCACAGAACCACCGAAGGAATGAAGTCTTACACCCACGTCTGTGTGTGTGGTACGGGGATGCAGAAAGACAGCTTCACCTGTCAGGTCAAAGTACCACTTGGTTTGAATAGTCTACATCATATTTACAATTCTTTCCACCAAAGCATTCCAGTGCTGCGGGCTCAAATATTCAAGTAGAATTGTCTTGTGCTCTGTCTATGGAGAAAGTGTGCCCACAGTACAGTGCTGATTTGTAGGAAAGGGTGCGCAAGCAAGAGACAGCAAATTGGCACCATTAAATATGGCCGAGCCAGCATGTTCAATACAGTTAGGAAACTGTATCATGAGCTTCGGAAATTAAGATTAAACCAGAGCTGAAAACCAAAACAGAGAAAGTAGCCATCTAGCCATTCCCAATAAAAAGTCACATAACATCACATATATTCCTGATTATTTAGATTTCATAAACACAATACAGCATCTGCTACAAAACTACTAAATGTGTTAATACTTGCTTGGATTTAACATGGCGGTTTCTATATTCATAGAAACTTTGAGAGACGGACTCAATCAATAAATTCAAATCACTGCACAATCTGCACTGCACCAGTACTCTTCAAACCTTATTGCTAAACTATAACCAGCACTTCAGTTACGGTTTAAAAATGCGGATAAACAGCAATATTCATCATAATAAAAAGCTGTATTTACCCAAAAATCTACGAAGTTTCATCGTATCTAACTGGAAGTGTTGAATTAGTCCATGAAGATTAAACAGATGAAAGGTTAAGCTGACTAGACTGTTTCCTAAAAATAAGACGAAAATACTAATTCGTTGGAAGCCATAAAATCAGTAACTCTTTCATAAGAAATGTATTATTTCAAACAAATTAGTCACAAAAATTATACCAGCAAGTTTCTCTACACCAATTTATGATAAATATTCAAATCTTACTGCATGACAAGACCTCATTAACTAGCTCCTCTAGTAATCACCAGTGTTTTTGCATAATTATAATGCATTCACCCATTGTCCACTGTCAATTGATAGGAGGAAAATGTTACCGAACATTAAAAAAGTAAGAAGTTTCAACGTGCAAACCAGTTACAACAGTATTCAACTTTACAAATATCATGATGCAACATACCACAAACAGACATGCAGCTTAAAATTGAATACAAAAATAATTATCTGAAGAAAAAGGCTAACCGACACTATTGATTAGCATACGTTGTACATATGCTGTCTCTCATTTTCACTGTGTATTTTGCTAAACTTGTCCTTATTTCACCCAGAACTCAAAGTTTCTCCAGGAAATGTATACTATTACAAGCTTACAATATACTTCCCCTACTCATAGCTGTATTATAATCACAGTGGTAAAACAAGTAAAACTGTAAGAGACAGAGAAAATAGCCTGCAAATGTTTACTTGAAATAGCTTGCCTGTTATTTACTCTGCAAACAAGATATAGGGGCAGATAACTCAGTTTTGGTACACTGTTAATTTTCATTTAGCAGGAGTTAAGGAACTCAGCACAGAGAGACTGATGTACAAAAGGACAAAAATTTCTGCTACATCCAGCTTATTGCTAGGCTTAATATATCCATATGCGCATGCCACTTCCTCAGAACAAGATACGCAATTCTTTGAACAACATTTACCGAGTAATTTGTTTCTTACAAGCTTACAATGTTTCAAGAACAAGACTGTTCAAAATCTCCTCCTAAAATTATTAAATTAGGATGCAAAATGGATGGCATATAAAGGCTTCCACAACAGAAGCTGTACTGGTAGTATCTAAGATGTACTTGAAAAAGGCATATTTAGAAGGTAGAGAAGGCCTCTTACAAGAAGGGTAACTTCAGATTACTCTGATCTGATAAACTAATCCAAAATAAACTATGCTTACAAACAAGTTAGCTTGCACACATAGCTTTTTCTCATTCGGTTATCTAGTCTAAAGTTTATCATTATCTATATGAACATTCTACTTTAAAAAACTCTCGTCTTCATTTTTTCTATCCATTTTCTGTCTTATATCAAACTGTGAGGATACTACCTTTACACCAGACTACGTCAAGCATCCCTTCAACAAAACAGGAGAGAAAATTACCTTTTGGTGCTGTGTTTTCCTTTCTGAACTTCATTTCTCTTTCTGCCAACTGTAAACACTCTAACTGCATCTCTGCTACCAGCTCCATCTGACTGATGTAAAATCTGCAAGAGCTGCCCTCCGTTCGCTCCCTACACTGGCACAAACCTTGCAGTGATGCCGGACTTGCCCATCTCCTCCTTCCAATCTACTCAAAACTCAGCTCCCATTGCTGTGATTAGAATACAAAACTTCACTCTGCAGCAGCCCTCTCTCCTCCTTTCCAGCACATCTACAGATGATCTCTTTTCTAAGTGGCTGTCTATAACATAAACAATACTTTAGTTGCTGTTTGTTGGGGTTGGTTTTTTTTAACCAACTACTTCTGTAGCTCCTACTGCTATTCGTAATGGGTGCACAAAACTAACAATAATATTCTCTTCCTTTTTGGTTTTTTTGTGCTAACTAATCTTACAATAGCTTCTGTCTGCTCAACTCCTAATTCTCTAGGTATTCTATTCTATGTTGTAATTAGAATGAATTCATACCAACATGCCTTCTTACTGCACTGTAAAGCAATAGAACTATTCTATCTAGCATTAAATTTACCAGAAAAATACTTGCTCAATATAAATGACCTTTTGAACACAACCATATAAATTACCAGCAGTTCTTAATTAAAAAAAAAAAAAAGACTTAGTTAGCAAAATGATTTGTTAATTTCTATCAAATTACTACTTCAAATTACTAGAGAGAACAGCAACCTACAAGGTACAAGAAAGGCCTCTTCTACAAATCAATGATTATTATCAGTACTGACAGTAATAGTATTTTAACAGAGTAACAGTTAGACTAAAGACTATTCAATCAAAAAATACTACCTGAAGAAATGTGTGCGTTTTAGTGAACAAGCAAACACATACCACAAAGTTAAGAGTGATAGTTAAGTTATACTAAGAGATAAACCAGAAATGAAATAGCAAAAGTTAACTCACCATTTGTCAGTCTATCAAAAAGAAAAATATCAAAATTCCAATTTCCAACCTTCTCCAGCATACACTGAAAGAGAACACAAAAGCTGTCATTTTTTTCTCTGTATATGCCTATCTTCTCAGTATATGCCCAGAGAAGTATTTAAGATTTCAGAGGCAGAGGCAAGTCTTAAGATTTCTACCTACAAAAAACAGTATTAAAAGAATAATTAAATTTGTCTGATAACCGAAAAACATTAAAATGCACGTTACAAACTAAAAAACTGAATAAACCAGGTAAGTGCCTTGACAGAACTAGTTGGAGATTTTCCCTTCATCCTTTAACCAATATCTTAAAATAAGACACAATTTAAAACAATTACGTTAAAACCAGAAAGAGTATGACACAACGACTCTGTATTCAGACTTCTTCCACTTTGATTTCTGCAACTAGCTAGTAAAATTAAGCTCTGTGTAGTCCTTGTTTTCTATCTTTCCCTTGTTTAAAGAGAAATAATATCTAGATGCTTTACTAGACATAGGAGACATTTTTTGATTTCCACCTGAGGCATGACCAGAGTTCAGCAGTCCCAATCTTTGCCTCCCCTACCTCTGTCAGAAATACCTGTCCAGCACATTTTACCACAGATACTTGCTTTCTCCTATTGTTATTAGATTTGTAGAGCTGTTTTGTGATCTAACTATACATCCTAGCTTTTCTCCACCAGCCACTAAAACTCCACTACCAGAAGAAACAAGAGCATTAACAAGATCTTTTTACTATTAAATTACGTGTACATTTTTTAAAATTCATCCTCCAGGTTATCAGATTCTTCCTACAACCTCAGCCTGATCATGTTCAGCATGGATACGTTCATTGTATTAGAAGCATATCCCTTTTCTGCATCAAGATTATGAACAAGAAGGACCACACGCAGTCAGAAAGATGAGACAGCCTTTGGGGTTGTAAATAACCTGACTAACCTTTCCCTGCCCACTCCCCACCAGCACTACCCATCCTATCCCTGATACACCAGCCTGCCATCCAGCTAGCTGTTCTCCAGGTACTGCCTGGCTTCCCAGAACTTGCTTTCCTTGCTTTACTGCAGCACAGGAATCAGACAGCTATCACACTTCTCTCTTCTAGAAGAATTGCCTACTAAAGAAAAAGTCAGTTTGGCATAAGAATCTTCTGACAAATCCATTTACTGCATTTTATTGAGCTTTCAGTAGCAGGTAGCCATGCTTCCCAATGTTCATGAGTGAGGTTAGACTAAAAATGAAAGGAGAGGGGGAAAAGTTGTCCAAATGGTTCCACTACATTTCTTAAATACAGATACATTTTCATTTCTTCACTTTTTCTTCAATTACTAAAGTGCATCCTCTATTCACTAGTTAAAAAAAAAAAAAAACAACCCACAAAAAACCTAGCTCTAAAAATCATCCCAGTAAACTTGCGGGCAGCAAAGCAGTTTGTTAGAAACCATGTAATTCTGGCTGGACTTTATTAAGGTATATACATATATACACACACACAAAAAACCCCCACACGTACATACATACTTAAAATTTGTATTTAACATGAGATATAGTTATACACTAGCAAACACCTTAAAATATATACTTTACAAAAAAATAATCAAGCAACCAACCTTTGCTTGTCCGTTATAATCATCATCTAAAATGTTTGAAGAATTTGGAACAGTGATACCACGGAAAAAACGGGAAGATCTCAGGTATCGCTGGAAACTAAGCAACCTTCTCACATTTCTTGCAGACACAGACACCTCGATTTCAGAATTAGCTACAAAAAACAAGAAAATGCTCTCTCTAAAAAACCTTTACCAAAAAGAAGATTGTTTAGGTAAGTTTGGTACAGCAAAGGCAATACAATTTTTTGTATATCAAATTTTCAGCCACAAACACAGATATTTTTATTAATAGTAAATACAGAGCCAGGGCTTAGCAAATAAAGGTTTCTGTGTACACACCCTGTGAAGAAAAACAATCATTTAAATTACAGCTGAAACTTATCTTTTTAAGAAGCTCCGTTATTGAAAGGACAGAAATATTACAGAAATTATGTAAAAACACAATAGCACTGCAAACAACTTCTTTTTGGGAAACTGCTCTCACGTATACACATCCAATCTGTGTCCCTAGCAAATCACACAAGATATGTCCACCAGCAAGAGTATGAGTAATTGTGTGCTGATACGGGAGTTACGAGTAGGTTTTGAGCACGTACAAATAAATCTTACACAGATTTTAACGCTCTGAAATTCTCTTTACGGGCAAAGTTTTAAACACACTCAAGTGATTTTGGTACTTTCACAGCTAATTATACTCGGAACGTCTCCTCTGTCAAACAAGTACCACATTTACGTTCACAGCATACATAATTCCCTTTCTCAGTAACCACAATACAGAAAATTGTTGTAGCCTGTTTTCAAAGACTGATCCAAATATATTGCGTTACTCTTGTCAGTTTAACTGGTCTATTCAAATGACCAATGCTAGCTTGTGTTCCATTCCACTTGATATGCTTGAAGTGTTTTAGAAACATGAAGATTAAACTATGCACAGCTACAGTTTCTTTTCAATGGGCCAGACATTTTAATTCTGAAATATATAAGGCCAAACTTGGCCTTTACTTTCTTTTCAGCAGTAGCCCCTACAGCAGTTTTACATAACCACAGGCAGACAACAATCTTGATACGCCTTCATTGTGCCCAAAATGACTTTTTTTTTTTTAAAAAAAAAAAGGAAAGAAAAGAAAAAAGGTATTAAAGAAGTCAATGCAAACATACGATTTTCCAAAAATGGAGAGCCTCAAAACTAACATGAGCCCAACTTTGTAGTACAGACATCTTGCCCTTCCAAGAACACGGCATATTAGAAATCAGTGAAGTAATTCAAATTTTGAAGCAGTTTAAATTTTTGTTCTTAGAAGTCAGTCTAAAATACTGTACAGGGGAAGGTGCAGCCTTATTAACAACCTCAATTAAAAACCTCAGTGATTTCTAGTGACAGTAGTTTAATTCTACTCAAGATAAATCTTTATCCATATAAATTCTTCTCCCTGCAGAAGTTCCAATGTACTTCCTGTTCTACATTAACTCATTAATATATTAATTTCCAATCTACACTAATAAAACACCTCTGATCAGAACTGACAATTGCACGAACATATAATATCTAATCAAATGCATCAGCATTTCACATCAACGGTCTGCGATAATAGACTTAAATTGACAAAACTGGAATATTCTTTCAGACATGCCTGAAACAACTTCATCAAGATATTGAAGTTCCCATCAGTGTCAAAGGGCCAACACAGAATTCACATGAAGTATCTTTCTTCAAGCCTTCATACTTAAGGCCAAGGGCACTGAAGACACTGGTACCTATATATCCCAGTTATGTACGCAGGTGTACTGCATGATAAAGGTTGCGTATAAACCAACATTCATGGGTACAGCAGGGAAACAAATAGATGCTGCATTAATCTACCAATATTTGAACCACATTTGTTAACATGAGGTTACAGTCTGAGCACTGCCAGCCTGCACAACAGGGAGCAATACAGCTGCTCCTGTTAAGGGAGCATAGGCTGAAGGTAAGAAGTTTTCCCCCCTCAGTTTTGATCCAGTCCCTTAAAATCCAAATTTCGGAACAAAAGTAATTTGGTTTGAAATAAAATAATATAAAATGGGTATATTTAGGTCATAAAATGATCCAAAATGTCCAGAAAGTCACATATAAAATCCAGGAACTTCACTAAATCTCAATAAACCAAAATATTTAAGTAGGAGAAATCTGCACTCTTCTGGAAGTACAGATGGTTTTCTTGATCATAAGTACTCTCCTACAGAACTACAGGTGAGGAAAACCTACTTTTGTTGTCATCCTACAAATACACTGTCACAGATGCCACCCATTAATCTTTGGCAGAACAGTCTAATGTAGGTAATACAAGTAAAACAACAGCTTTTGTCAGCAAACCACACAACAGAACACAGAACTGTGATAATCTGGCAGTATAGGCCTGCATTCCACCTGTATTTGTGTTCATAAGTCATTTAACTTATGCAATGGGGGGTTGCACATGTTTTTGCTTCAGTATTTTTTCTGACAAAGATGGTACAGAGGCAAATTAGTCAGTTTTCTGTGAAGCTGAACAGTCATTACTCTTTACTTTGCAATATCCTATTGAGACACTCATCTTAAAAATATTTTTAAACTCCAAATTATCATCAGTTTGTATAGTTCATAAACCACTACTCTTACACATTAATCCTACTTTTTCCCCCATCATTAAAAAAAAAGAAGTAAAGAAAAGAAATGAAAAGAGCACTGCTCCAGCTGATGTAATTCAAACGAACAACAAAGCCCACTTCACTACAGCTTTCCTGGCAGCAACACTGCTATTACAGAATCACAGAACAGCTGAAGTTGGAAAGGACCTCTGGAGGTCATCTGCTCAAAACCCCCTGCTCAAGCAGGGCCACCTAGACTACATTGCCCAGGACCATGTCTAGGTGACTTTTGAACATCTCCAAGGATGAAAGACTCCAAAGCCTCCCTAGGCAACCTGTGCCAGGGCTCCATCACCCTCACAGTGAAAAAGTGTTTCCTGATGTTCAGAGGGAACCTCCTGTGTATCAGTGTGTGCCTGTTGCCTCTGTCCCTGTCGCTGGACACCACTGGAAAGAGCCCGGCTCTGTCCTCTTTGCACCCTCCCTTCAGATATTTAGGTACATTGATAAGATCCCCACTGAGCCTTCTCTTCTCCAGGCTGGACAGTCCCATCCCTCTCAGCCTCTCCTCATCAGCCCCTTAATCAACTTCCTGACCCTTTGCTGGACTCTTTCCAGTATGTCCATCTCTCTTGCATACTGGGGAGCCCAGACCTTGACAGAGTACTCGAGGCGTTGCCTCGTTAGTGCTGAGTAGAGGGGCAGGATCACCTCCCTCCACCTGGTGGCACCACTCCTCCTAATGCAGCCCAGGGTACCATTAGCCTTCTTTGCCACAAGAGCACATGGGTGGTTCATGCCCAACCTGCTGTCCACCAGGACTCCCAGGACCTTCTCTCCCAAGCTGCTTTCCAGCTGGTGGGCCCACAGCCTCTGCTGGTGCCTGGGGGTGTTCCTCCCCAGGGGCAGGGCTTTGCACTTCCCTTTGAACTATTATTTATTCCACATGTACAGCCCAAGTTCAGTAAAAACAGCTTGACCTTGATCTTATGTAGAGCTGCAATAATTAGAATAACTTCCAAATGAGAAGAGAGATGCTGAGCCCTGCCAGCCCTCTGCAGTTCCAGATCACCTAATTCAGGGGGACTACACCAACCCAAAAAAGTAAACTGTTCTCTCTGTAACAACTAAACATTTGCTATTGAACAATTGAGAATAGATGAGTCAGATGTGGAGGTTTGACAGGTAATTAATTTTAAAGGAAGGGTGAAAAAGAAAATAGCTAAATAGGAAAAAAAAAAAAAAGATAGGTTCTTCAGCTGCAGGAACACTGATAGCATCCATGCTTGCAGCTTCCTTTTCCTCACAGATAAATTACTATGAAGCATATAAAAATCAACCACTTTGTGGTTCTGGCAGAGCAGCAAAGACAAGTCACAGGAAGGACTGGTAAACTGAACGATACAGTTTGTGCAATGGAAACTTGGTATTTCCCTCCTGGCACAAACAGAAAACTCATTCCCTTTATGTGCATGATTAATAAGAGGATGTCAGCCTGCCCTCTTCTACCATGAGTCACAAAACAAGATGGTAATTTCAGAGACCCTACCAAAGCAAGGTTCAATAATGTATTTATAACAGAAAGAAGGTGAAGAGTGCATTACACTTCCTCAAGAAAAAGCATGCTGCAAAATCATCCCTCCTCCCTGCCCAAACATCCTTAATTTCCTTTGGAGCTTTCAGTGTGGTAAACGCCTTTCTAATATCCAGTAGTGACCATTTGCTCTTAAGAGATAAGGACAGTCTAAGGACAAATTAGAATGACAAAATAGACGTTTATGACATTTACAGTCTTGATAACTGAAACAGAATGAAAGGAAAAGTCAGGATGTTGGGCATGCTAAGAAGGAAGCTACAGAATTCAGAAGTGCCTTTGATGCAAGGAACCAGAAGACTGAACCTGTAGACTTGTCTCCCTGGTCAACAGCAGCTCTCCTACGACATTCTTCATCCCTTCTTAACTCTTCATGCCCTACTTAAAGTAAGAATACCACCCAAAGTATTTTTTACTTCCAAATTGTTTTTATTAAAATTATTACATTCTTGTTTCTAAGCATCTTAAGTGAGATGCTGGTTAATAAAAAAAAATGCCTTTCTCTAAAGAAAAAAGGAATAACTGTGTTTATTATCGCCAGTTATTTTGCTAATGATATGCATATACAGCAAGAAAACGCAAGTTGTCTTCATGCAACAGATTTCATTTGTATTCCAAGACACTTATTTTAATCACTCTTCCCACTCCCAATCTTTTAAGTGTCTTGTACTTCACAAAAACCTAAAAAATTAATTTTATCACATTTAATGTCACAGGGATATTAAATATTTTTCTCATGCTGAAATAAAAATACAAAATAAGTAGAGAAAAGACAAGTGACAATCACTTACAAAATCATAATATACAGATATATTTATTCTCAGAATTTTTGCACTTTTCATATATTAAGGACAGACAACAAAAGGAAGAATGACAATTACGGTTTAATTTAATTTTTTTATTAATAGAAAGCTTAAATCCTAGCAAAATCCTTCGACCTTCTTTTCATCC